CTCTCTGTTTTCCCTTCTTGTCTCTGGATTGCTTTCCTCTGTCCTCTCTCCACTATCCCTTAACCTCAAGTTCTTTTCCTTTCCCTTCTCAGGTAGGCAGAATTCTCCTGAGAGTTTGTGTGCAGGGGGAAGAAGAGCATCCTCATGGCTGGGTAGGTATAGGCTGCAGCTGATTGGAATTCCTGCTGTCTCCCAGTGTCATCTTTTCTCCCTGTTTAACTTTCTCTATCAGCTCTCATGTGGGAAAACAGAGCAAGGGGAGTAAAAACTAGAGACATGGCTGGGAGAAATTCCACTGGTCTGTTCCTGGTGAGGTTTGAGCCATCATGCACAGATTTTATTTAGTCCATTTAATATAGTGGCTGTGGAAGTTGGTAGCAGATGTCTTGAATCCTATTGAAGGAACTATAAATATGAGCTTGTGGCACCTTGATCTTATACATGGGCCCAATTTGATTTCAGTTTATTTAATTAAAACTTGACAATGCTGCTAGCTACACTGCAGTAGGTATAGGAAACTTCTGACTTCAGCTTACAAAACTGCGACGGACCAGCTCTGCCGGAGCACTGGGACCAATGGAACAGGGATCTGGGGATAGGTGGGCAAGGAGTAGGCGAAGTGACAGACACAGACTCAAAAGAGTTGCATCTGAGTGTATCTTTATTGAGGAGAATTAACATTTTCATACAGTGTGTGATTGTGACATAGATTCTTTTTTTATTTAAGCAAGTAATCAATTTTTAGGAAAAGAAAAACATTGATGGATTACATAAAAATTGATTACTATCCCACCAACTGTTTAAGCTAAATGGTGTGAAACAATGCGTCATCTAGTCAGCCTTTTTATGTTTAATAATGAACAAACCTAAGACAGGGCTGTACATATATTGTACTCTTTTTATTTTTTTCATATATTTTCAAGCCCCTTTGAAACCATCCTAAAAACCACTTTCAGGTTGAATCAGGCATTCTCCGTTTTCTATAATGTTAATCCCAATATTTGTTCACATAAATTTCTAATTATTATTTTAAACTATCTTGTTGTTTTGATAATAAACACCATAATGGTCCAGATCTACTTAATCTTTGCATAAAATCTAATGAGTTCCAAAACACCCTTTTTCCTTTTACATTAATCCATCTATTTTCATCTTTGTAAACTCCTGTATAAGGCAATGGTTCATGGGTCAGCTCAGGAAATGTGATGTCACTAACTTTATATTTTGTGGGAAATCACCATCTATTCCCTATAATGTAAGCTGGATTAAAGTAGTCATAACTGTTGGGAAATTTTTCTTTTCCTTTAATTATCAGGGGTCCCTTTTTCTAGAACTCTCTGTGCTTTTGGGATAACTCCTGGCTTAGTTTAATTCATTAATTCTGCCTGTTGTAACATATCTAGAGATTTTAAATTTCTATATTTACTATGAATGAGCCACAAAACTGCTTGTGAAATTGTAGGAGTTCCTGGAGGCAGTGTCACATCAAATGATAGATTGATTGTGGCATTGCCCACATTTAATCTTTTGTCTTTATTATTCAGAGAAGCCGTCTCCATTGGATTGGAAAGAAACAACATGCTCTATTCGTGGATCAATAGAAAAATAGCCAAAACGAGAATAAAGGCAATGAATGTACAGCCAAGAAGAATATAGTAAGAATAAAGGTAGAGGCTATAAAGGTGCAGCCAAGTGTATGGGAAACCTTGAACTAACACTCCCTTCCTGCAGGCATGCTTCCTTGAAGCTTATGCATTATCTGGCATGATATCTCATGCAGACTCTGAAGGAGGTGGCATGGCACAAAACCTAGACCTTTCTGCCTACACCTTCCTATTTCATGCAGCTCAGATAGCACTGTCTCTTCCTAGTGGAGTTTTTGCTCATGAATATGGGTGCTTACTGATGTGTCCTGTGTAAAGAACTTGAGAAGACTGCAGTTAATAAAGCAGGGTACAGTACCTTGGAAGACCCAGAAACATTGAAGTGGGTTCAGAGTTAATTGGAAGAGAAGAGAACTGGAATGAACGCTGGAGTCAAGGTGGCTTCTACATGTGAGCTTTCAGTTGGACTGCAGCCCCAGTGTGAAATGGAAGACTTCTTTGCCTCCAGTGGACCAAGAGACCCTTGTGGTCAGGTCAGCAGGAGGATCCTGGAGTGATTTGTTAATCCTGCCCTACAGGGGGAAGGGGGATTCTGCATATCCCCCGTGGGAATGGGCAATTGGCACCACAGTCATGGGAGATCGATTGTAAAATGAGCCCATTTTATTTTATTCACATAAAATATTATAGGCTTGTTTAAAACTTAATTCTCATCTTGAGTATGCAAAATACAAATTCCAAAAAAATGTTCAATTTTTTTACTTTGTACTTTGCAAATATACAAAATAGAAGTTTGGTTAAATTTATATTACATATTTATTAAGGTGAAGAACTATGTAACATGTTAGCTCTGCTTAAGGCATACTTAGGAATAAACGATTGCACAAATTATTGTGCCTTTGAAACCACATTGCATAACAGACTGTCTCCGTAAAAAATGTTAAAGAAGTAAACCAAGTATAACTTAGTCATACATATAGATCAGAAGACAAATATATAGTCCTTGTCAGGGCTGGGAAGGTGGCTCAGTGGTAGAGCGCTTGCCTTGCATTCCTGAGGCCCTGGGTTCGATTCCTCAGCACCACATAAGCAAAAAGAAAAAAGCTGGAAGTGGCACTGTGGCTCAAGTGGTAGAATGCAAGCCTTGAGCTGAAGAGCTGAGGGTCAGTGCCCCGACCCAGAGTTCAGGCCCCATGACCAGACCACCCCCCCAAACATATATATATATATATAGTCCTTGTCAAAGCATACAGCAGTTTGAGAACTTTGGCTTCCTCTTTTGTACCTTTAGAGCCAAGACTCATCAAGCACCATCATTTAGGCTATTAGAACACATATTCTGTACTGAAATCTCTTCCTCTTCTTCTAACTAAATAATGGCTTTTAGAAGGCAAAGGGAATACAAGGTGTTCTTTATATTTATATTGCATCTGAGACAATCTGTGAGAAGCCGAGTGGGGGAGGGGTGTAGAGTGAGACTAACACCACCACAAGGCCACAAGAGGCAGGCCTCCTGGAGCAGAGCAGAGGCCAGGCCTGTGGAGAGGAAAGCCCTGTGGTATAGAGAGGCCTGCTGGAAAGAGAGAGAAACCTGCCACCTGGAGGCTGCAGCTGCTCTTAGTTCTGAGGTAGCCCAGGACAATGCAGTTATAGACCAGCTAGTAAAACTCCTTTGTCACCTTTGGCCATGGATTTTCCCTCCTCTGAGATCATTACAAATTCAAGGGAATTCTGGTTTTCCCTCTCCCTCACCCCACCCCAACTGATGGATCTAATTTGCACCCCATTATCCACAGCTTCCAGTAATCCCCATGGTGGTGTCTTGTAAATCCAGAAATACTCAAGTTGATTTAGAATTGCAATGATAGCCGATACAATCTCAGACCCATTTGTTCAATTTTGTTTTTTTAATTTTGCCTTTGGATTCCTCCTTTCTCTTGATTATCCATTCACAAGAGATATTGGAAACTTTCCCATGGTTGTAGTGCTTTGCCAACATGAGCTCTCTCACATGGGAAGACAGTATGAAGGATTTTCTACTGGCAGTATGTGACTCTGTATCCACAGTCAGGGATTTAACAGTGTCTCTGTGCATCAGGCCAGGGGACCCACCTGGACAAGGCTGTCTCTATGCATCAGGACAGGAGACTCATCTAGACAAGGCAATCTGTATGCATCAGGCGAGGAGACCCACCTGGACAAGGCCGTCTCTGTGTGTCAGGCCAGGAGACCCACCTGGACAAGGCAGTCTCTATGTGTCTGTCCAGGTGAGCCCACCTGGACAAGGCCGTCTCTTTGAGTCAAGCCAGGAGACTCACCTGGACAAGGCAGTCTCTATGTTTCAGGCCAGGGGACCTATCTGGATAAGACCCTCTCTATGGGTCAAGCCAGGAGACCAACCTGGACAAGGCTGTTGAACTTGTGGCACAGGAATGGCAGCACGACTAGTGTTGCCTGGTCAGTTCATCAGAATGGGCAAACTTCTACCCAAAGCCATCCCAGTCACAGTGGTAAGGTAAGGTGTCTCACCTGTATGGGTTCAGAAATGCACCTTGAGATGAGAGCTCCTTGGATAGGTTTGGCTGCAGCCCATGTGCTCACACGCATGGGTGGCCTTTGTGTGGCCATGACCTTCTTACTTCCTTCGGCTTTGGCTCCTCTGGCAAGTAGAACCAGGTCACCTGCTCAGGCAGGCAGGGTGGGTAGTTGGGCCCTCGATGGGCATGGGATATAGGGGCTAGCAGTAGAGTTGGGTGACAGTCCCTATTGACCAGCAATTCCTCATGACAGGCTAAGGTAGTCCTAATGGGGAGCTGTTGCCTCAAGGAGAATTCTTTTCTTTTTTCACTTTTCCGCAAACTTTGTTACAAACATACAATTCTTTAAATATAGACTGTAAAACTCCATTTGCAAAAGTCTGCTATTGTAAGGAGTGCACACCAGCAGGAAGGATTCTTAACTTTTTCTATGAGTTTTCTGCTCTACAAATTCATACATAGGCATACGCACTTGGCTTACAATGTATAAGCTTGTTGGTATTTACAGAGATCAAAGACAACCCTCTCCAAAAAAAAAAAAAAAAAAAAAAGAACAAAAAACAACCTTTTAAAGTAATTGCCAACCTAAACTCTAATTGTACATTTAGATCAGGAAGCTGTCTCCTGCTATCAAATTTTGGTTTTAATTGAAATAACTTTGCTAGTTAGTGGTAAATACGGGACCCGCTGTTTTACAGGCCTGTCCGAAGCTTGTGGCTGTATTCACATTGCTCTTTTGAGGCAGCCCTGCAAGTATCAAAATTGTTCAGAATCTGAGCTTCAACCTACAGGCAGTGAGATCAACAGCCCGTCTGGACTCTGCTTTTTGAACGGTTTTCAGGAAGTGTGATTTCTGGACGGGTACTGCACTTCACAGATTTGTTTGAATTGCCCATGCAGCTCTATGTTAAAGTGCATTCTTCTTTTCAAAAATAAGCAAGAGAAATAATCTTTTTACTTTTTAATTAACCAAGGTACTTAAAAAAATGAACTTTTTGGTCTATCAGCAGATATTCTCAAATTGATCCTACTACTACAATTTCCATGTTCTATTTACAACATTTATAGGATTCTGGGTGGAGGAAACTTTATAAAATGAAAGGTGCAGCTTCACTTGAAGCAGAAATCAGCTCTACAAATTCATACATAGGCATACGCACTTGGCTTACAATGTATAAGCTTGTTGGTATTTACAGAGATCAAAGACAACCCTCTCCAAAAAAAAAAAAAAAAGAACAAAAAACAACCTTTTAAAGTAATTGCCAACCTAAACTCTAATTGTACATTTAGATCAGGAAGCTGTCTCCTGCTATCAAATTTTGGTTTTAATTGAAATAACTTTGTAGATTCTCTACTGGAAGGACATGAGTCCCCCGCTTTGGAGTGAAGAGCCAAGTCTAACAAAGCTACCAATAGATAGAACTGTCTCTGAAGATTCCCACAGAACAAAAACATGCTATGTAGCACTGTATCAGAACAGGTGATCTTAACAAATGATTTTAGAAAGACATCTGTATGAAAGTCCAAAAGGAAAACAAAATGCTTAATAATATAGATGTTCTAGGACTTCAGAAAAAAGTTCAGATACACTGGTATAGTCTTGATACTGATGCCACTGAAAAATAATTCAAATACTACTTGCCTCCTATTGGAATGTGCGAAACGATAGACTGTAAAAAATGTGTCTACACTAACTGAAAGTCAGTTTCTAGACTTTTTGTCCAATCTATAGGGTTTTAAGAATCCAAGTTTTTTTTTTCCCCTAGGTAGAACTTTGGGTTTTGAACTCAAGGCCTTGTGTTTGCTTGGCAAATGCTCTACCACTTAAGCCACACGCCCAGTCCTATTATTGGTATTATTTTTTGCTTTATTTTTCAGATAGGGTCTTTTGTTTATAGCCCAGGGCTGGCCTTGGGCCATGATCTCCTATCTCTGTCTCCAAAATACCTGGGATTACAGGCATGTTCCAAAATGCCCAGCTCCAGAGAGCTTTTTTACACAGAAGAGTGACATGGTAGAAGAAAAGGATTTATGCTTATTATCAATTTAAAACAAAACCTCCAAATGTGATTAGTGATAAAATCCTGTTCTTTCATTTTCTTTGAGTCTCTTGTACTTTTTTCTCCCAAGAAGAAATGTTAAAAGGGAAGAAACAATCCACTTGCCCTTCTATTTCCAAGCACATATTTTTCTGACCAGCCTGATCCAGCAACACAAGACAAAACATTTTGCCTTTAAGAGATGGTCTCAGTGAGTCTTGAAAAAGTTAGCCATTGAAGAGATGCTGGACGTAGGATAAAAGAACAAACTCATGCCTTCTGCAAAATGCTAGTGGCCACTTAATGTATCTATCACTTTCTCTTCACAACTCTGGACCTTCATTTCACTGTGTGCCCTCTTTTTTTTTGGGGGGGGTTGTCCGGTCGTGGGGCCTGAACTTTGGGCCTGGGCGCTGTCCCTCTGCTTTCAGCTCAAGGCTAGAGCTTTACCACTTGAGCTACAGTGCCACTTCCGGCGATTTTCTTTTTGCTTATGTGGTGCTGAGGAATCGAACCCAGGGCCTCGAGCATGCAAGGCAAGCGCTCTGCTGCTGAGCCACCTTCCCAGCCCGACTGTGTGCCCTCTCTTATCTGTCAGTGGATAGCAGAAATAGCATGGGGAAAATAAAAATTGCTCCCGGATTCAAAAATCTATTAGAAAAGTTGAGTTAAAACTTTCACTATCATGCTAGCTTAGCTTCTAATAAAGTTGTGCTCTCCCTTTTACTAGTTTACTGTGGTAAAGCTAACAATGTGGCATCTTCTCGTTTTAACATGGTTCTATCTGTCCCAATTGGAATGTCTAATTCCAAGAAGGCATGAGTTAGATTCTCAAACGAGAGTAAGACTGTGAACAGAAGTGGACAGCATATTCCATACTGCATTAGGAAATACAAAAGGCATTCACAAAGGCCTTGCTTGATTCAGGGGGACACATTGCAATTGGAAATCCCCAAGACAAGAAATCTTTACAATGCTGATGCAATTTTATTTTTCCATTTTCTGAATTTAACTTTCAGTACTGAAAAGTGGATTGCACATGTTCCAGTAATGAAACTAGGTTTTAAGAATAAGGTCTGAGGATGACTTACACAGTCAAGTCAGATATGGCAATGGAAATTGCTACTCAAGAGTACAGTTATCTCAAGAAACTTCTGAAGCTAATATTAAAAATGAATACTTTTTTTCTAAATTAAAGCAGAAGAAATGAGGCTGTAATTTGTCATTTCCACCTTGCATATGGAATTTCAAATGGGACATATGGACTTTTTCTTGTCTGTATTTTAAGGTAAACATGGTTCTTATTTTCTTTTTTCTTTTATACAAACTATCTCCCCCCACCCTGCCCTACCCCCACCCTTACACCCCTTATCCAGTATACTGAATGGGAATTGTAACTCTTTCAGAAGATACCTAATTGATTTACAGTACTCTAAAAACAACCCTGAAAACTGATAATCTCATTCATTTACTGTAACTTCAGTGCTGTTATTGACAGAAAAGAAAAAGTTACCTTAAGGCTTAAGGGAAAGTAACTTATTAAATTGTGAATGCAGCATTTTTTACTCTCCCATCCATTGGAAACTAGCAAAATGTATTCTGAATCAACAATACAAACTTTCTAACGTTAGCAAAGATTTCTACTCTCCTGACATCAAGTTAGAATAATATTCATAAACAGAATATCTAGGGGAGCCTGAGAAACCATGATCCACATCACACAAAGATCCTATGCATTTCATGATCAAAAAGTGTTTATCTTTGAGAAATATGTCAGGGATAAAATGGAAATATACAATGCAAAAAACACTTGACACTTTTTCACAATTGTGGAAAAGGAGCAAAAAGGTCTGCTCTCTGAACAGACCTTACTTATGCACAAGACTTTTAAGGTGTGCTAAATTAATATTGATTTAAAGAATTCATAATAGTGGGGATTTCACTCCACTATATTTAAAAAATAAACAGAGATTGGACATCAAAGCTGTCAACTTTGTTATTCATCAGAGCAATTCTGATACTTAGAAAACTCAATTGAATTAGCTCCAGGATCAAAACATTAACTTTCCCCAATCAAAAAGGATACAATCAAAAACATACCTAGAGTGTTATAGAACAACTCTCAGCAAACAAGTCATTTTCATATAAGCAAAAAGTCACTTCTTTCCTCTCCCTTCTCACTGATCAAGGCCACACGATTTTCAAATGAATATCTACTGAGAGATCAGTTGTGCATTGGACAAAGTACATAATTGCGTTAAAATGAAAACAAAATTTTCAGTGAAGAATACTTATGTGCATGGCTTACACACTCCAGCTTCTTAATTTTATCCACCTCAAGAGCAAGGTAGATGCAGTCACCTTATGCAGATTACATTCTACACCCCTCTAAAGCCAGTCAAGGTCATATTTAAGCATCTTCAGCAAAAACAGTGCCTGAAGTGTGCAGCCATTTACAGACCACTCAATATGAGGGCATTATTATAACCAGCCTCTTTTGCCCACAACCCTGCATTTTCAGATAAGACAAGATAATTGTTTTGTTTTGAGAAAACCGAAGCTTGAATCTCTTAAAAGACCTGCAATTTACTGCAAAGTGACCCAGAGGTAACAAAGGAAGCAGGAGGTTAATGGCTGCCTGCACCAAAAGTCTCTCAATCATTCTGCAGTAAATAATTATGGAAAGTGACATGACAAGTAGCCATGTGTGTACCACAGCTACAGCCAGTTGTACCACCTATATGCCTCCAACAGTTCCATAGGGTATTTGGGGGTTTTTGGTTTACTTTTCAGTTTGATTTTTGGTGCTATACAGACTGACATTTTGTTTGGTGCAGCATATGCACTGAAAGATCTGCTCACCAGATTTACCATTTCACTTGCTGAAATGATGAGAAGGGACAATAGAAACCTAAAGAGTTACATCTCTTCACAGAGACCGACTCTTTTGACTGTTTGAAAAAAAAAAAGGCTTATCTCTGTAGCTAGTTTGAAATAAAACTCAATTTTTTGAAAAGGAGTCTTAGTTCCCTATTTCTAAGGAATGTAACTATTTTCATTAGCTGGGATGTTTGCCAAATTTTAAAAACAACTTCTAAAGCGTTTGTAGTAAGCAGCTAAAAACAAAACAAAAAAGTTAGTTGTTTCCCAGAGTTTGTAGAATGCCATTATCTAACTGGAACAAAGACTATTTCCTTTAATAAGCTAGTATGAATGAATGAATCTCCATGCTCTGCAGATTTCTATTGTGCCTAGTCACAGGAATGAGGATCAGTGAAATGCTACAATTAATCTACATCCTTCTGCAATCTTCCTACAGTGGAAGAGAGGCAATGAAACAGGAAAAATAAACCTCAGAGATTGGATTAAGACTTAAAAACCCACCACTAGGACATTCACACTTAATCTTACACAGGCAGGTCAAAATTTTAATATAAATTACTTTTGCCAACACATAGCTTACGCATTCTTTGCTCCTTTTTTTGGAGGATTCTCAAATTGATATCTAAAGACTTACAAATGATATATAACTGTTATATGGTCTAATGACTAAGAAAATTTCTCTGGTAACCAAAGCTGATGCCATATATGGTAGTGTTCTTGGCATATACTCTATATGCCTCAGACCACTTCCACATTCTTTCTATTCAGCTAATTATAGCTTAGTAGCCACTGGTAAAGGATTGTGAAGACCCTGTCATTTCTACAGAATAAAAAGGCAAGGCTAGTTACTGCAATTCAGCCAAATAAAAAGAAAAGAAAAAAGATTAATAAACCACTCCCTTGAAAAGGAGAGGTACTGCACCTTTGCAAAATTGAACTGGCTCACTGCAGCTGAGCAACAGAATCACCACTGAAGCAAGAAAATAAGTTGGTCTATACAGGAATTGTACATGATTTGAAAATGCAAAAGTTACAGCGATCAACTAATAGCTGCAACCTTAATTTCCATTGCTGCCTCAGAGTTGAAACTTAAACAGTTTTTGCAAGCCTAATGCTAGCTTCTCATCTCCTTTACTAAAACTAGGAATTTGTTCTCCGCAGCCA